ACAGTGCAGTTACATATTTATCAATATGGTGGGAAATACATATGCTCAAAAAACAAGCAAAACATCTTTTAGTACATTGTATACATATGAAAACAGAGACAGCCATCTAATATACTGACCAATGAGACTATATGAATAACACTGTATCACCCATGCATATTATGCCTTTGAAGGCCATGAAAAATATATATTATCTGGAATAACAACATGAAGCCAAGAGCACATGTAATTTATGTTATCAAAATCCACTACACAGAAAATTTAATTGCATTAGAGCCATCACTCAAATTCAATATGGACAACTGATTTTAGAGAATATATGTGCTGTTCTTTGACATATGCTCCTAAATTAATTTATGAAATTAAAATTATACAGTAAAATTCAACAATAAAACATACAATCACTGTATCACATATACATATAAAGAAATGACTTTATCCTTGCAGTAATGATATATGTTACCAACCTTACAAACAAATTCTACACATTTCTGTTTTTCAGGTTCTATAATAATATTTACTCCAAATGAATTCTGTAGAAATATTTCTGAATAAATATCCATTGAACCAATATGCTTTATAAAATTCTCATCTGTGTTCATTTGTGTGTCAGAATGTATAGCTTTTTTGTTTATACTCTAGATGCCAACGTTAGTAAAAGAAGATTTCAAGCACAATGAAGGAATGGGATCTTTGATGCCGGCCACCATACTTCCAGATTACACAAAGTTCCCCTGTTCTATTTATTAATTACATTTATGACAAATTATATGTTTACTCTTCAGTATTCACTTTGTGTTTCAGAAACTGATATCTTACTCAAAATATGGTTTATACAGGATTTTATCCTAGTGAATTAAGCCATGGCAATACATGCCATAGTATTACAGAAGATTCTAAACTATCTACAAAAAGATAGCCCATATAAAGACATTGAATCACATTTTATAAACAGTAACTACCATAGGAACAAAAGAAGGAATACTCAGCATTGCTGGCATTGAAATATTACAAGAAAAATTGTTTGTATAACCTTCATTAACAAGATTTATCTCATTATCCACTTTTTTGTAGCAACCACAAAAATATCTTACCACTAGTTTGTTATACAAAAAAGAAAGAAAATCTAAAAAAAATATAGCACTGATGCACAAGTAAACAATAATGTAGAAGGAAAATAAATAAATGTTTCACTATCAATTTTCTTTGAGAGTAATAAATAAGCATAAATAAATCCATCCAGATCTCCCTACCTTTGACCTATTTTTATCTGTTAACAAAACAGTCACACCAGTGATTCTCAACCTTTTTGAAGCTGCCGCCCCCCTAAGGAGCGGAAAATTTTTCA